TTACGTTTTAACTGTGATGAAGCACATGCATGAGATTCCACAGAATTTACTGCATAACTACTAAACAAACCTGCAAAATGTGCAAAGGCATTGTTGTCCATAGTAGAATCATCAGGAGTAGCCCCAGAAGATAATTGAGCTTGCTGAAATAGAGCTAGAAGATGTTGGTACTGTTCTTTAGTAAAACCATGAGCTGAAGACTCAGGAAATTGTAGAGTTGGAGCAGCATTTAAAGGTGTAGGGTGAATGAAAGAATGTTCACTTTGAACACATGAAGCAGACTTCTTATTCTTTGTGAACTTGAAATCTGGAGGAAATCCATGGAGTTTGTAGCACTTATCCACAGTGTGCCCAGGTTTCTTACAATATTTGCAAGAAACATTTGAATTAGACCTTCTGGACTCAAAATTTACCCTTTGACTGAAACCCCTGTTCTCATTTGCTGGACTGTTAGACACTAGGAATGAGGATGAATCACCAGAGAGATTTGGGACATGAGAATGAGCTTCCCTTTGACTCTCATCATGTTGCAGAAGGGAATAAGCCTTGCTCATTGGAGGAAGAGGATTCATCATCATGATACTACTCTTGAGATTTGAATAGGATTCATTTAGACCATTTAAGAATTGAAAAAGTTGTTGTTCTTCTATAAATTTGGGCAGGGCACCACAAGAGCATACAGGTCCCACATATGAGGAATGTAGCTCATCCCAGAGGCTTCTCATTTTGGTGAAATAAGATGCTATGTCAGAAGACCCCTGAGTGGTAGAATGAATTTCCTTTTGAAGTTGAATATACTTAGATCCATTTGACTGCATCGTTTATGTCTTTCCAGACTTCTTTAGCAGTCCTAAAGCACATCACACTAGTAGCAATCTCTCTAGATACTGAATTAGTTATCCAAGCCTTGACCATGTCATTACATCTTTCCCAATACGCATAGTAGGGTGAATCTGACGTGGGCTGAGAGACTCTACCATCTACTAAACCTAGTTTATTCTTTGCAGAAAGAGAAGTCACCATACTACTTCTCCAAAGTACAAACCCAGAGCCATTGAATGGCACAGAGACCAATTGACTACCAGGATTATCAGACGGGTGAATGTAGAGAGGATGTGATGGATCCAGTGAAAAAGGAATAAAACCATCAGAATTCCGAGATATATCATTTTCATTCAATGTACTACCCATTTTATATCCAATTGTACCAGATTCACAGTATTAAAAACAGAGAAAATTCGATTGATAACAAACAGATGCAAAGCAGATTTGCAATCAACACAGAATCCAAAGTAAAACAGATCCAGACAGGTGAGAATGTACCAGTCTTCTTCTGAAAACCCGAAGAAGTAAGGTCTCGACTAACTTCAAACCCTAGGCATGAAAACAGTTCCATGAAAACCAAATTTTAGGGAAAATGTAGCTCAATCAATGGATGACGTTGAAGAATTCCAAGTTTTCCTGACGAAAGTCAACAACGTTACTTCGAAATCACCTCTGACTTTAACCAAAGATATGAAACGGGAAAAAACTTCCGGCAAGGGTACAATCGGAAGAAAGCTCATGACGAGAGGAATCTAAATTCCTGCTCTAATACCATGTTGACTTGACACAAGAGTAGATATGGTGGAAACAACGAAAAGAGAAACCCTAACATTAAGAAGAAGAAGAAGAGAGAACAGAAGGTTCGAGAGCAAATGAGTCGGTCAGTCTTTACATTGACCAAAAACTAAAAACTATCACTTTTACATAATTGTCTTTTATATTTACAAGTAGTGAAATGTATAAAATGCAAATACAAGTAAATGTACAATTGGGCCGGATCTATGTAATACAACTAATGGGCCTGCTGCTGCTTTCCTTTGTTGGGCTGGTCAGTAGGCAGATTCTGGTTAATAGTTTATTCATTTACGTTTTCTGGGTTATGTTTATTCTTTCTTATTGCTTTTACTATCTTCTTGGAATGATACTGACATGAACGTTGAAATAGACTTCAATTTGCCTGAACAAGAAGGCATCTAGCACCAATGCGCATTGTTAGTGGTGAATGATAGTGTAGAATCACTAAGGAGAGTCACCTTCCAAAATCAGAATAGTCGAGGAGCAATCACATGTTAACATTTAAAATCATAATTTATGTATATCAGCTAAGAAATTATTTGCGTAAAAATCTCAAAAAGTTAGACAACTAATCGTTTTGGGAGAGCCATTTCAGACACTAACTACTAGTATATGGATCTCAAATGTATTAAAAGAAGCATTAAATTTGTTATTTAGGGTGTGTTTGGTATGAAGGAAAACATTTTTTGTTTCCAATTTTCTCATGTTTGGTTGGCTTAAATGTTTTGGAAAATATTTTCCTCATCAACTCATTTTCCTCCAATTGGAGGAAAATATTTTCCCTATCAAGAGAAGAGAAAACATTTTCCAAAACTCCTTCTCAAGCTTCCCGACCCTATTCTTTACCCTTAACAACCCACCCCACCCCACACCCACCCACCTAACCCCACCCCATGCCCTCTTTTCAAAAAAAATTTTTCGTCACCACCCACCCACCACCCACCCCACCCGACTAAAATTCTAAGTTCTTGTTTTTTTCTGCGCCCCCCCCCCCCCCGTAAAAAAAACTATATATATTTTTTTATATATTTTCAGTTTTACTTTTTTTCATCTTTCGGTTTACAAGTTCAAAATTTTACAAGTTCCAAAGTTATGAGTTCGGAAGTTTATGTGTTTCGAAGTTTACGGGTTTAGAAATTATAAAGTTTACGGGTTCGAAATTTCGCGATTTCGAAAGTTTTGCGGTTCAGAAGTTTATGAAATTTGTGGGTCCGGAAGGTTGTTGGTTCGAAAGTTTATGACTTCATGTTTATTGTATCAAAATTATTTATGAATACTCTTGAAAAAATATTTTCCTTGATTTGCGTACCAAACACCAGAAAATGAATAAGATTACTACTTGTTTTCCAAGAAAATATTTTCTTGAAAACATTTTCCTTTATACCAAATACACCCTTATTGTTAAATTTAAGTCAGATCATTTGGAACGAGATTAAATGACTAATCCTTTCTATCGTAATATTGATGATGAAGATCCAAGTCATCCAACCCTTGTACTGACATTTATTGCCTTCGCCGACCATCTCTTTCAATGAATAAAAAACTATTAGAAGAGAGGATTAGGACCTAATTGGTAAATATAAAAAAAAAAAGATCAAAAACAACTTTACACATCACTTGCTTGCCCGAAAATTCCTCCTTGGCCCCTAGTTTCTCAATCAATTATTCTGTAGTTTCCTCAATTGGTGTTCCATGTCTGTAATCTGTGTTGAAATTCAATTAATTCAAATTTGAATTGATTAGACTCATTAAAAAGATAAATGTCTGGGTTTTAGGCTCGAAATCAAAGCATCCAACTAAGTGTTCGTTTGGACATAAAATTTAGTGGAAGATTTTTCCAAAAAAAAATTAAATTTTATTCGAAATCAGCGTTTGTTCATAAAATTTCTAATTTTTACTTGAAGATACATTTTGGAAATTTTCGAAAATTTGAAAAACTGCAAAAAGTTGTTTTTGGAAATTTTCTAAAATTTGAAAAACTGCAATTTTCACTCAAATCACTCACAAAACTTCAAAAACAACCCAAACTGAAATTTATGTCCAAACACAACTCTAAATTTCAAATACCATTTTCACTTAAAAAAAAATTCACAATTTTTTCGAATTTTACAATTATTATGTCCAAACGCCTACTAAATATGAAGGGAATCTATCAATTTAACCACAAGCGTGGGTAATTTCGATTTCAGTCAAATTATAGCTTGTTTGACCAAGTTTTTTTGGCTAGTTTTCGTTTTCCAAATTTAAGTTGTTTGGTTAAGTTTTTAGAAAGAAAAGAAGTACTTTTGAGCAGAACTAAAAGTAATTTTCGAAAAGCGAAAAAAAGAGTGAATTCCATTTTACCCCCTTAACCTTTTAGTGTAGGGAAATAATACCCCCTTCACCTTTTGAATGGAAAAGAGAACCCCCTTTGACAGTTACTGAGCTTCTTATTTTGAAGTAGTTCTCTGAATTTCCACAATACATCAAAATTGTAACAGTTTCCTTTTGGACAATTTGGAGCAGAATAGCTTTTTTAGTGGTTATCTTTTATATTGCATGTTGTTATGGGATTTCCTTAGCTATACTAATAGCATTTCCTGCTAGAACTGGATTAAACTTCTAGCAGTATATTATTGAAAGATGTCAGATCCTCAGCGGAAATTGTTTTTAGAATGTGTTTCTGTGCTATGATGTGTAAAAATATTTACAAAATCTTGTTACTTATAAGGTAGTAAATCTCTACAATTTTCGCACTTCTCTTATAGCTTTGTATTCCTAGATTCTTTGCGACTACATGCTGTGTTATTTGTTTATGTTATCTTATTTCCTTGCCATTGTTATCGTTTGCTTATTGTGTCCTTTTCACTGTTCTTGAGCTGTGGGTCTAGGGGAAACAACATCTCTCTTCCTTCACAAGGTCGGGGTAAGGTCTGTCTACACATTACCATTACCCGACCCCAAGTCTAGGATTTCACCGAGTTTGTTGTTGTATGGTAAAAATGGTATTTGACCTGCTTTCCCATGAAAAACTACACTTATTGTGTTAGAAATATTTACAGTATATAACTTAAATTCTTTATATTTTGTTCTTTGTGCTCTGACATTGAGATACTCTTGGATTTGATCAGGTGGACACATTAACCCTGCGACATTTGGTATTTTTCTGGCAAGGAAATTGTCTCTAACCAGGGCAGTTTTCTACATTGTGATGCAATGCCTTGGTGCAATCTGTGGTGCTGGTGTTGTCAAAGGGTTCCAGCCATCTTTGTATCAGGTTAAGGGTGGAGGTGCCAATGTTGTAAATCATGGTTACACCAAAGGAGATGGCCTTGGTGCTGGGATTGTTGGCACTTTTGTTCTTGTCTATACAGTTTTCTCTGCTACTGATGCCAAAAGAAATGCAAGAGACACCCATGTCCCTGTGAGTACTTACTTGACTTCTCATTTGTACTTTAGATTTTACTGTTGAGCTATTTAATGTGTGTGTGTGTGTGTGTGTATTCTAACTCATGGTTGCGTTTTACAGATTTTGGCACCTCTCCCAATTGGATTTGCAGTGTTCTTGGTTCACTTGGCCACCATCCCAATTACAGGCACCGGCATTAACCCAATTGTTGTTGGAATTCAAATTTTTTATTTTTTCTTGGTAAACTTTGTCATCAAAGGGGGTTCTCTTTTCCATTCAATAGGTGAAGGGGGTATTATTTCCCTACCCTAAAAGGTTAAGGGGGTAAAATGGAATTCACTCCGAAAAAAAAGTATCTTCTCCTACTTTTGAGAAAAAAAATACATTTAAAAGCTAAATACTAATTGCTGTTTAAAATTAATTAGTCAAATACAAATTATTTTTTACTAAAAATATTTTTTTTTGAAATCCTTTACAAAAAACTGATTTTAACAAGCTGTTTGGATGGGTGTTACATATTGTATTGTATTCAGTGGCGTACGCAGGATTTTTCGTAAGCGGTGTCATTTTTTTTTATAAGTAAACAAAGAATTAAGTGAATAAATGAATAATTACTATAGTAACATCATATTAAAAAAAGCACAAAATCCGAAAATATTACTATAACTCTGTACGGCTAGTTTTCCTTTTTTTGAGACGTACCAATAATATTCTCATGAAATAGTACTAAATATGTCTTTTTTTTTTTTTGCTCCTTAATTTTGTTATAGGTCAATTGTTCAAGTCTCAGTAATACAAAATATATTTTAACAAGTAACATCTAGAAAATGATAAAAACATAAGAATGGCATAAACATGTTCAAACTTGTATACGGTAAAAATCAGAAGGTCCGATTTTGTGTTCATTAAGGCACCTCGTAAAGACCGCCCCCAGAAGGCTCGAAGTTCGGCTCGGGGTTCGACCCCGATGGTTCCTAACGTTTGACCTCGAGACAGTGCAAATCGATGATTATCATGAGAAAGCGGGAAGTTCCCAAGGCATATGACTAAAGCTGACAAAACCTGCAAGAGAAGCCCTAGTCTGTACCAAACTAGCAAATAGTTGTACCAGCTATATTTCTTTGTAATAAATGCATCTGCACCATGTTGAGATTTCCCCTCATATATAAAGGAGATCCTTGTCATTTTGTAAGGACAAGATACAACACACAATATTGAATACAAGAACATTCTCTGCTCTCTAACTTAAACACATTCTCCTTGATTCTATTATTTATACTTATTGCTTACATTTATTGTGTTCTATTAATTATTCTTCATTTATTGCTCATTATTGATCATAAAGAGCCTTCATCAAAGCTCTCAAAACTGTTAGTCCTTTACCGGCCGGCCCTAATTTAGTATTGAGCTCGACCTCGAGGTCCCGTATAACCAGGATCGAGGCCCCGATTCTCAGCCACTCGGTTTGCTTAGACATACAATTCTTGAGTTCTTATCTTATTTTCTAGTCTCACACTTAGCATCTATTGCCTAACAACTAGCATAAAAACAGATCACGTATTTTTAGAACCACAAAATCAAATCTAATTATTATTACCATTTTCAAGGTAAACAGTTTGGCGCCCACCGTGGGGCTAAAAATAATAGTGATTGTTTCCTTGCTAGTTCACTACATAACGCAAGTTATCTTTCACACTTTTTCATGTTCAAGAATCTTTGATTTCAGGTCAAAATATCTTACTCGATAAACGTGCATGACAACAACGATCTTGAAGACCATGGAGAGAATGGTGTAGCAGTTCCAGGTATTGGTGTACCACCGCAAAACCCCGAGGTTGCACAAGAACCAATTCCCGTGGACGTGGTCTCGCGCAATGCCCAACACGTCAACATAAGCCCCCATACCAACATGAGTATACGCCAAGAGAACCAACAAGAGGCTAAGAAAACCTCGGCTCGGGAAGAGCGAGAGCTTAGCCTTCGCGTCATTTTTGAGATGTTGCAGGCACAACAGCTGGCGATTGCTCAACCAAGCCACCAAAAAACTCCAAGCGCAGCAGCACCAGAGGGGTCTCCTCGAGCCGAACAAATACCAGAAAGATAAAGCAACAACGGGTCAGCAGCCGATTCTGCTATCATAAAGATGCTCGAGGACCTCACGAAGAGGATTGAATCGGGCGAGAAGAAGATAGAAGCCAATGACAAAAAGGTAGAGACCTACAATTCTAGGGTCGATCAAATCCCGGGGGCACCCCCGATCCTGAAGGGTGTAGATTCGAAGAAGTTCGTACAAAAGCCATTCCCTCAAGATGCTGCTCCAAAACCCATCCCAAAGAAGTTCAGAATGCCCGACCTTCCGAAATATAACGAAACCTCAGACCCCAACAGCACGTCACCGCTTACACTTGTGCAGTGAAGGCAACGACCTAAAGGACGACGAGATTGAGTCCGTCCTACTAAAGAAGTTCGGAGAAACACTTTTGAAAGGGGCCATGATGTGGTACCACAACCTCGCCCCGAATTCAATAGACTCATGTGCCATGCTGGCAGATTCTTTCATAAAGATGCTGCTCGAAAACCCAAGGCTATAAGACCCCATGTGGGCAACCTCGAGCTCGTAAGACCTTTATAAGGCAAAACCAAAATCTGTAAGACCTCAAGCAATGCATGAACTACACTTGTACCAAGTAACCAAAACTGTAAGACCTCAAGTAAGGCATGTAAAAAGTTATAAGACCTTACAAAAAGGCATAATCCCGGTCTTAAAGCTAAGGCTATATATTCGAACTTGTAAGACCCCTAAAAAGGCATACCCTCGATATAAACGCCGAAGTTACTTCACTCGGGGACTAAAAGGCTACGGCCAAATACAAATGACTACGGTCACAAGGCTGTACCAGCCAAACTAACGCGACTCGGGGACGCCCGATCGTCGCTATAAAATCACAGGCCTTCAATTACTTCGAAAAAACTTCGAAAAGAACCGGTTAATCAGGCTACCCTCGACTTAAACGAAAGAGCTTCGATCATATCAGCTCCAAACTACAGGCTTCGAAATCATTGAGCCATCGAGCGAAACCTCCCGAGGTGCTCATCTATCGCCGCATAAACGACTCACAATCGAGGTTCTTATCGAACCGTCGAAGAGTCGCGAGAACATAAAAACTTCAAAAGTCTTTAACGAGGGAAAAATAAAGCCCATAATAAAGGTCGTACCGACCCAACGCGTAAGAGCCTAAGGGCCAGCTTAAAATCAAAAACTTAAGGGTCAATAAGCTCGAGTCGAAATCCGACTCGAAGACTGAGCCCAAAATAGTTAACTGAATACGCCTAAGGGCAAAGACGTAAGAGCCACTGTCGCCAGCTTAAAATTAAAGGTCGTACTGACCCCACACGTAAGAGCCTACGGGCCATCCCAACAGGCCTCAAGGAACGTAAGGGTTTCTACTCAAAAGCCAAATCGTCTGGCCAATCACCGACGAACGTATAGACTAAAAACGAAGAAAGATATGCACAAGCAAATAGAAACTCATGAAAGGAGAAAACCTAAAGGTTTCTTTATATATGCATATATGAAACGACGCAAGGCTACATTTACAAAGTTCTCTAAGAACACTGTACAAAGAATCAAAAAGAAAAAAGTCTAGTCTATTTTCCCCTCGGCGACTGCGGCCCCATCGGCCTCTTCCTCATCATCTTCGGCATCGGACAAAAGGAACTTGGCGTCATATTCATCCGCCTTGGCCTGTGCTATCTCTTCCAAGAGATCGAAGCCCCTAGCATGAATCTCTTTGAGGGTTTCCCTTCAAGTTTTGCACCGAGCATACTCTTTGCTCATACTCTCCCGGTCGAGAGCCCCCCCCCAGCTCAGCTCGAGCGTCGGCAGTGTCTTTCAAATAAGCGGCCACTTTTTTATCGGCCTTAGTTCGGATCGTTTCGGCTTTAGCCCGGGCGTCTACAACTCCGGCCTTCATCTTCAGAAGCTCATACTCGAGTCTTGCAATCATGTCCGTTCAAACCGAGCTGTTCTCGCGAGCATTCCGGAGGTGTACCTCGAGGGCAGAAGCTTTGGCCAAAACATCCTTCTTAGCCGCAACCTGGGCATCCACCTGAGCCTTTTAGCTCACCACACTCACTCTTGGCTTGACCAACTTCGCCCCAAAGGCGTTCCAGGTCCTCCGTCTTTTTCTGCAACTGAAGTATCAAAACACTAATCTCGGAGGATAGAAGAAGAAACATGCACCCCCTCCGGTGCCATCAAGGTGGCTACAAGGAAATCCGAAGTCTTTAAAATCAAACAAAGAGAAAACGAGATGTTGCGGGAGTTTGTGTCTCGCTTTCAAATGGAGCGAATGGAATTACCACCAGTCTCCGACGACTGGGCCGTACAGGCCTTCACTCAAGGATGAGCAAAGCTCGGTAGCTTCGAAGCAGCTGAAGCAGAACTTGGTCGAATATCCCGCCGTGACTTGGTCGAATGTGCACAACCGATACCAATCGAAGATCAGGGTCGAGGACGACCAACTGGGATCCCCTCAGGCTCAGTATATCCTAGCAGGCTTCTAGCAAAGGAGCCAAAGCCAAATAAGGAAAAGTACCAGCCATACACTGAAGATAGAAGAAACGCCCCAAGACGTAACATACCCCGAAATGACCGAAGGATAGATCGAGGTCAGAATCCTCGGGGACTCATAAGCAGAGCCGGATTCGACAGACACACAGGACCGACGGAGGCACCCCGATTGTCCGAATACAACTTCAACATTGACGTTTCAGACATCGTCTCTGCCATCGGTAAAATCAGAGAAACCAGGTGGCCAAAACCCGTACAATCAGATCCGTCGCAAAGGAAGCCCAACCTAGTGTGCGAGTTTCACGGCACGCACGATCATAGGACCGAAGATCGCAGATAGCTCCGAAAGGAAGTAGCCTGACTACTCAGCAAAGGGCACCTCCGAGAGTTCCTCAGTAAACGAGCCAAAAATCAATTTCGGGAAAGAGAGGCGAACAGAAAGAATGAAATAGAAGAACCACAACATGTCATCCACATAATTGTTGGAGGAGTCGACATCCCACAGGAACCCATCGTCAAACGAACAAAAATATCCATTACCAGGGAAAAGCGAACTCGGGGTTACATACCCGAGGACGCTTTCACATTCCCCGACGAGGACATCGAGACCCTGTCTCAACCTCATAACGACGCACTGGTAATCTCTTTTCTTGTAAATATATTTCAAGTTAAACGTGTACTTGTGGATCCAGGTAGCTCGGCCAACATTATCATGTCGAGGGTGGTGGAGCAGCTCGGACTGCTCGACCAGATCGTGCCCGCCTCTCGAGTCCTCATCGGATTTAACATGGCGAGCGAGACACGAAAGGAGAAATCACCCTCCCGGTCAACGTGGCCGGCACAACCCAAAATGTCAAGTTCCATGTCATAGAAGGAGACATGAGGTACAACGCCTTGCTCGGAAGGCCACGGATACACAGCATGAGAGCAGTACCATCCACCATCCATCAAATGATGAAATTTTCGACAAAGGACGGAATAAAAACCGTCTACGGAGAACAACATGCAGCGAGAGAGATGTTCGCGGTGCACGATATGGCACCGGCATCAACACCTCCAGCATCGAAGGAGCCAAAAGATAAGCAAATAGTAAAGAAGCAATAGTGAGATATATTCTCAGCTACACCCGACTAAATGAGTAAAGGACCGTACCGCATCCTCGGAGTAGAGCATATCGAGGCTCGAAGCGCCATCAACATTAAGGTATAATCATTTCCCTTTTTCATTTACATTTTACACTAACTTGTGCACAGGTATCCGATTGGAACAGTCGAAGCGATCTCCAGCTTGAAGACCTTAGGTTTCAAAGCATGCGTTGCACTCTTTTCCTTCGATCGGGTTTTATCCCAAGAAGGGTTTTACCGGCAAGGTTTTTAACGAGGCAACACCTATGTGCTACCTGAGGAAGACTAAACAAGTATTCAAGGCTTCTCTTCAATCAACCTCGAATAGTAAGGGGCATTCCCCCCGGGATGTCACCTCATCGAATAAGTCAAGATGTGCCAGAAAGGGTTTCGATAGGAAAATGATATATCGGGCCAAACGGCCGAACGAATCGTGTCCGTATAGAATAACCGAGCCCTTGACAACAAAAGCATGTATACTTGTGCCAAGTAATCAAGAAATATTTGTTCCATCAAAATGCTTTGTGCTTCAAAGAAATCTGCTAATTTTTCAAGAAACGGCTCCAGAGCCAGAAAATTCTCGAACACTCCGGGACTGACGTCAAAAACTCGAAGTCACATGACCTTCGGCCAAAAACTTCGAACTAGTAAGCCCTCAATGAGGCAACTCCAAGTTTACACAAAACGGCTCCAGAGCCAAGAAACTCTCAATATCTCGGGGACTGTCGCCGACTGCCACCCCATCGACTTATCGAAAACCCGAGGCTATAAGACCCTATACGGGCAACCTCGAGCTCGTAAGACCTTTATAAAGCAAAACCAAAATTTGTAAGACCTCAAGCAAGGCATGAACTACACTTGTACCAAGTAACCAAAACTGTAAGACCTCAAGTAAGGCATGCAAGAATTTATAAGACCTTACAAAAAGGCACAATCCCGGTCTTAAAGCTAAGGCTATATATTCGAACTTGTAAGACCCCTAAAAAGGCATACCCTCGATATAGACGCCGAAGTTACTTCACTCGGGGACTAAAAGGATACGGCCAAATACAAATGACTACGATCACAAGGCTGTACCAGCCAAACTAACGCGACTCGGGGATGCCCGACCGTCGCTATAAAATCACAGGCCTTCAATTACTTTGAAAAAACTTCAAAAAGAACCGGTTAATCAGGCTACCCTCGACTTAAACGAAAGAGCTTCGATCATATCAGCTCCAAACTATAGGCGTCGAAATCATTCAACCATCGAGCGAAACCTCCCAAGGTGCTCATCTATCGCCGCATAAACGGCTCACAATCAAGGTTCTTATCGAACCGTCGAAGAGTCGAGTGAACATAAAAATTTTAAAAGTCTTTAATGAGGGAAAAATAAAGCCTACACTAAGAGGTCATACCAACCCAATGCGTAAGAGCCACTGTCGCCAGCCTACACTAAGAGGTCGTACCGACCCGATGCATAAGAGCCACAATCGCCAACCCATAATAAAGGTCGTACCGACCCAACGTGTAAGAGCCTAAGGGCCAGCTTAAAATTCAAAAACTTAAGGGTCAATATGCTCGAGTCAAATTCCGACTCGAAGACTGAGCGTGAAATAGTTAACTGAATACGCTTGAGGGCAAAGGCGTAAAAGCCACTATCGCCAACTTATAATTAAAGGTCGTACCGACCCCATGCGTTAGAGCCTACGGGCCAGCCTAACAGGCCTCAGGGCCGAATTGTAAACCTAAGGGTTTCTACTCAAAAGCCAAATCGTCTGGCCAATCACCGACGAACGTACACACCAAAACAGAGAAAGACATGCATAAGCAAATAGAAACTCATGAAAGGAGAAAACCGAAAGGTTTCTTCATATATGCATATATGAAATGATGCAAGGCTACATTTACAAAGTTCTCTAAGAACATTGTACAAAGAATCAAAAAGAAAAAAGCCTAGTCTATTTTCCCCTCGGGGACTGCGGCCCCATCGACCTCTTCCTCATTATCTTCGACATCGGACAAAAGGAACTTGACATCGTATTCATCCGCCTTGGCCTGCGTAATCTCTTCCGAGAGATCGAAGCCCTTAGCATGAATCTCTTCGAGGGTTTCCCTTCGAGTTTTGCACCGAGCATACTCTTTGCTCCTACACTCCCGGTCGAGATCCCCCCTCAGCTCAGCTCGAGCGTCGGCAGCGTCTTTCAAATAGGCGGCCATTTTCTTATCAGCCTTAGTTCGGATCGCTTCGGCTTCAGCCCGGGCATCCACAACTTTGGCCTTCGTCTTCAGAAGCTCAGACTCGAGCCTTGCAATCATGTCCGTTCGAATTGAGCTGTTCTCGCGAGCATTCCAGAGCTGTACCTCGAGGGCAGAAGCTTTGGCCAAAGCATCCTTCTTAGCCACAACCTGGGAATCCACCCGAGCCTTTAGCTCACCACACTCACGCTTGGCTTGACCAACTTCGCCCCAAAGGCGTTCCAGGTCCTCCGTCTTTTTCTGCAACTGAAGTATCAAAACATTAATCTCGGAGGATAGAAGAAGAAACATGCACCCCCTCGGAACAAAAATTACATGTTCCTCGAGATAGCTTTCGTAGTTCAGACTTCGACTCGTCTCATTACGCTAGTACAACAACTCATCTTCCCTGTTATTGCAAAGAAGCCTAAGGGATTTCTCCCCATCCACGGCTTTTTGTGACCTGGCCTCACGTTGGAGCAGCTCAGACTTGAGCTTGTCGAAAGCCTATGGAGAAGGAAATCAATGAGAAGGTAAAATTACAAAACTAAAAAAACCAATACAGTCGACCAAAACTCACCACCGAGTAAAGCTGCTGAGCCTCATCAAAGGTTGAACGCACATCTACTGGCCTGGACCCATCGGCCCCAGTAGAACCACTCCCAATTGGAACACGGTCGCTCGATACCCCACTCAATGTAGGCGACCCATGGCCTCGGACATCCCTCGAAGTACCTTCGACGGGAGAAGAAGACGGTGACGAAGGAGGGACCTTTTCTCTAAGGCCAGGAATCTCGGTTGCTGCAGGCTCAACTGATACATCTTCTCTTAGCCTCCGGGCTAGACTTGTCCCGCTATGAGCACTTTCGCCTTGCAAAGGTTCTTTTCGTTTGTTATTATTCCTAGGTCCCGAAGCTGACGACCCTTCTCCCTCTCCGAGAGGGCACGATCTTATCTCCGAAAATTACCCAATGCCTACGATGACAGAGTCAGTATGCATAAAAAGAAAGTGCCTTTCAAAAGAAAGCAAATCACATAGCACATACCGTGGTGTTTTGCCTCCCACCTACCCCTGGACAAGTCTCGCCACTTGCGCTCATTATTAGTCGAGCGAGTCGCCAGCTTTCAAGCCCAGTCCGTCAGGTCGGGGATCTCGTACGACATCCACGAAATTGCTGCAAAAAAGGGAAGAATAGCGCATTTGTAGGACTTGCCTCCACCATAAGCAAAATAATGATTACAAAAGTGTACCACTTACGTGTATAATTCCATTCCTCAGGAAATGGCATGAACTCCACAGGGATAATGTCAACAGTCTGTACTCGGATGAATCGGCTCATCCATCCCCGGTCCCCATCATCTTTATCGTGGACAATAAAAGGCCTGGTAGATCGGCGCCGCAAGGTTAGAATGCCTCAGTGGTGAAAGGGCCGGTATAGCCTGATAAGAAGACTAAGGGTGAACTCAAGCCATGCTTCCTCCGCAAAGAATCTCATAATCAATACTATCCTCCAAAGCAACGGGTGAACCTGTGCCAGGGTAGCCCGATACTTCCGACAGAAATCGAGCACGACCCGTATCAAGGGGGCCCAACGTAAAGGGGTATGTGTATACGTTCAAAAACCCCTCTGCATGATCCATGATGCTCTCTTCCGGGGAAGGTATTTGCAATGCTACCTTTTCCCCCATCCGCAATCTTTCCTCACTGACTCGAGGTGCCCCTATCCTATTAGAGAAATGAACTTCGAAGCATACTCCCAATGTCCCTGAACATTGGGAGGTTTTTTTGACGAAGGGTCCTTCCTCGAGACAAAATGTCTCGAGGTTGGCTCACCAGACACCATCGGTGTACCACCGATCAGGCGAGAACCGGAGGCGAAACTTTCCTCTCCTTGTTGAAACGGATCTTAGCGTAGCAGCCATAACTATGTTAAAACAAGAGAGGGGGAGCGGTAACTTAAGTGAAGGCTTCAAAATCAAAAATGGTGAAAGACCTAACGCAAGGAAGAAGAACTCTATGAAGAAGGATAGCTGCTCAAAATAGCGGAATCCTCAAAAAAGGGGGAGACAAACCTATATATAGAGCAAGCGCTGACTGTCCGCCTGCCTCAAAGGCCAATCAAATGCGGGCTAAGCCATTACCACTTCCAGGGAGGCGTACCGACAGTATCACCTCGGTCATTTCACAACCGTGTCATACGATTGACGTTGTCATACGACGTTTGAAGGATCAAAGACTCCCGCGCCAACCTAGCCTCGAGATGATACCGATCTTGAGGATTTCTGCTACCATGGCTATTGGCTCTAAGGAGCCATCAATATCACTATAAGCCTCGAGATGGTGCCCAATCTCGAGGATCTCTGTCAAAATGAAGATAGGCTCTAAGGGGCCATCAATATCGCCCTAAGCCTCGAGATGGTGCCTGATCTTGAGGATCTCTGTCAAAACAAAAGACAAGCTCTAAGGAGCTATTAATATAAACCTAACCTCGAGGTGGTACCCTATCTCGAGGAATTCTGCAAATGTGGGTCATTTACCCGGTTCTTTAGCCCTCGGGCTACCTGAGCCCGAGCCAGTTTTCACTCGAGAATTACTGATTAAGCCTTAAGGCTATTTACGCTTTCAAATCAAGTTGAACGCTCTCTCGGTTACTTTAGTCCGAGGGCTATCCAGGTCCAGGCGTATCCTCATCCGGGGTCTATCTATAACGCCTTAAGGCTATCTTCACTCTAAGTTCAAATCAAGTTTTTAGGCCACCCGAGCTTGAGCAAATTGTCACTCGGGGACTGTCTGTGAAAGTCTAAGGGCTATTTTTTCTCAGATGCTCGAGCAAATTATCCCTCAAGGACTATTAACGAGGTTTAAAAGGGCTAAGTTTTTTTCTAAAAATCGGGCCACATTCTCATTCAATTCGAAGTCGCCGGCCTAAGTTTTGTATCAAGTCAACACGGACTTAGTCCGAGGAACGGCAAAGGGTCTCAGAGAAAATCATGTTAACCAATCAAGAACCGAGGAAATTCCCATGCCCAGGTCCGGTATTCGGACCGATCGGTAAAGTCACGTGCTCAGATTCTTCACAAACGCAAATAAAGGGAAATCCAGCACAAATCAGAGACAAATTGAAGAAATATTTTTGTACTAATAAACGATGATTACAAAAGCCCCCGAAGGGTCCTTAAACTTGATTAAAAAAGCCCACGAAGGGTCCTTACACAGAAACAGAAAGGCAAAAAATAAAGTCTAATCTACTCTCGGTGGTACGTCTTCGGGAGCAATTTCTGTGAGAACCATTCCCTCGGAGACCCCATCTCGACCTTCTAAACGATGTCTTCAAGAACCTCCTCCAAAGCGTAAAAAGATGAAGAAGCAGAAAAAGATGAAGAAGCAGAAAAAGATGAAGAAGAAGAAAACGATGAAGAAGTGGCTGGGTGAAAATTTGGCGACTATGGGTCTCTCCAGCACTACTATTGTGAAGCCACTTCTTGAGACGTTGCACCGGTGTGGGATGCAACAGTTAGTAGATGGCACCACCTCACTCCATGGAAAGCGAAATGAGTAAAGTGCCACACCAGGTGAAAGTTAAGAGAGATGAGCAGAAGTTCATGGTCCGCATGTCCTTTAATACGAAGATAACATGAGATTCCTCTCTCATTATTTCGGGACAACAACAACAACAACAACAAGCCAGTGCAATCCCACTCAGTAGAGGAAAGCTCTGAGAAAGAGCCATAACATAACCGGCGAGGACACTGCCGTGTGACCTTACGGTCACGGGCTTTAACATGGGAAATAGAGTTGAAGAAAGACGAAGAAAAGAAATGAGTTAAAGGCTGTTGAAGAATGATTGAATGAAGTTTTGGTATAAGAAAGCTTCCATTTATAGAAAGGTGGCAGCATAACCGACGGCGCAATCAATGTCTTTGGAAAACGTATCAATAGGCGCAGTCAATGCTTTTTGGGAGACGGATCGACGGCGATATTATCGCTTTGAGAAAATAAACCGGCGCTACATTGAATGCTTCTAGAAAAGATGTACCGATGGGACGTCTCAATTATCACAATAGCTTACGTCATAAGCATGACATCATCACAAGAGGCTCGAGGAGATCATTGTCGAAATCGTTTTTTAGCATTTTAATCTAAGAAACGCGGGGACTATCTGTATACGGTAAAAATCAGAGGGTCCGATTTTGTGATCATTAAGGCACCTCGTAAAGACCGCCCCCAGAAGGCTCGAAGTTCGGCTCGGGGTTCGACCCCGAGGGTTCCTAACATTCGACCTCAAGACAGTGCAAATCGATGATTATCATGAAAAAGCGGGAAGTTCCCAAGGCATATGACCAAAGCTGACAAAACCTGCAAGAGAAGCCCTAGTCTGCATCAAACTAGCAAATAGTTGTACTAGCTATATTTCTTTGTAATAAATGCATTTGCACCATGTTGAGATTTCCCCTCATATATAAAGGGGATCCTTGTCATTTTGTAAGGACAAGATACAACACACAATAGTGAATACAAGAACATTCTCTGCTCTCTAACTTAAACACATTCTCCCTTGATTCTATTATTTACATTTATTGCTTACATTTGTTGTGTTCTATTAATTATTTTTCATTTATTGCTCATTATTGATCATAAAGAGCCTTCATCAAAGCTCTCAAAACTGTTAGTCCTTTACCGGCCGTCCCTAATTTAGTATTGAGCTCGACCTCGAGGCCTCGTATAACCAGGCTCGAGGCCCCGATTCTCAGCCACTCGGTTTGCTTAAACATACAGTTCTTGAGTTCTTATCTTATTTTCTAGTCTCACACTTAGCATCTATTGCCAAACAACTAGCATAAAAACAGATCATGTATTTTTAGAACCACAAAATCAAATCTAATTGCTATTACCATTCTCAAGGTAAACAAAACTCTTGACCTCAAACAAAAAATTTGAAGCAATTGACCACCAAAACCAGCGAGCCTTCCTTGTCTAGGTGGTGTCACCTCTTTCTGATTATACAAATAATCTGATTTTGCCTATGTTTATATATGTCAATTTAATAAATCTTTCCGATGACACCCCTTTCGATAAGGTGGCTCTGCCCCTGATTGTATTGTATTGTTACTTTAAATATAATGTTTGGTTTGATTGTTACTTAAATCTTATTGCATTGTATCG